CATAAGTGTCAAATTTATGATAACAAAGTGCACGTACCTCCGGTTCCTATGAATTTCTTGACGGCTCCTTGGCCCTTTGCTATGTGGGGAATTGATATGATTGGAGAGATCAAGCCGACAACCTCCAATGGACACCGCTTCAGCCTAGTGGCCATTGATTATTTCACAAAGTGGGTTGAAGCAGCCTCCTTCGCCTTCGTTACCAAGAATGTTGTGGCTCGCTTCATCAAGCAAAACCTTATTTGCTGGTACGGTATCCCAGAAAGGATCATCACTGACAATGGTACAAATCTTAACAACACTATGATCACCGCCTTGTGCGAGCAATTCAAGATTCAGCATCAAAATTCTTCTCCCTACCGGCCAAAAATGAATGGTGATGTCGAGGCTGCGAATAAAAACATTAAGAAGATCATACAGAAAATGACAGTCACATACAAAGACTGGCATGAGATGTTACCATTCGCTCTCCACGAGTATCATACCACGACTCGCACGTCAAGCGGGGCAACACCCTATTCTTTGGTTTACGGCATGGAGGATGTCTTGCCTATTGAGGTCCAAATCCCCTCTCTGAGGATTATGAAGGATGCAGGTTTGAATGAAGACGATTGGATCCAAACTCGACTTGATCAACTGAACTTAATTGATGAAAAGAGACTTACTGCTGTTTTCCATGGTCAAATGTATCAAAAACGGATGATCAAGGCTTTCAACAAGAAAGTCAGGCGCCAAGTATATCAAGTTAGGGATCTAGTGATCAAACGTATCATTTTTCCACAAAGTGATCCGAGGGGAAAATGGACTCCTACCTATGAAGGTCCATTTTTAATCAAGAACATACTCTTCGGTGGGGCAATGATCTTGACCACCATGGACGGCGATGACCTGCCACACCCTGCGAACGCGGACATAGTCAAAAGATACTACGCATGAGAGACCCGCTAGGTTGACACACCTAGGCAAAAAAAAGGGCATCCGGCGAACCAAAAAGGTTCGGGCAAAAATTAGGGATAAAATAAAAAAAAATCTATACACTCGGCAAGTTGAAAACCTGAAAGGGCGACTTGGGCAAAAAAGGGTTTCCCAGTGGACTGAAAACCCGAAAGGGCGGCCCAGGAAAAAGTTAGGGAATTAAAGCGTATGACTATGTCCCATCGGATCACTTAACGGACAACCTTTGACTTCCACTGACAAACTTAGAGTTTCTGATCAATTCAATCATCTTCGGACGAAGCAACAAATAGACAAGATATTCAGAGATACAAAGGCTATAGCAGAATGGGAATCCCATGGGATTATTACACATAGCTATCTCTCTTTGTATAAATTTTTCTTGTTTTATGGCACCATTCTCTTACTAGAATGATTGTCTCCTTTGTACAAAATACTTATTCAAACTCAATATAAAGATACCCCTTTGAAAGTGCAAAAACTATCTGCCTTTTCTTTACGATTGTGTTTGGTTTGCAAAAACGTCCAATGATTCATTGATGAACATATGCATTTGAACATAATTACTGTTTACAAATAAACAAAATGAGAAATACAATTACTGATAAGTTGAAAGGACAGGAAAACGTCTCTAGGCTATTCCATAAGTAATCCCCACAGTACGTCATTTAAATCCCCAGCGGAACAAATTTCAAATTATTAATCTCCAGTAGAAATCGTCAAATTTCTCGGGATTCCCCAAGCAGATCTTACAAGCAGTACATGTCATTGCCCTCACAATAGGATTTACTTCTCTCAACAAGAGTTCGTCAGTACTTCAACTTCAAGACATGAAAATTCAACTTATCCTCAGTAGAATTCAGGGATTTATTTTCCTCAATCATACAGCAATACAACAAATCAGCTTACATGTGCATACATTACATCCATATATCATTGATAAAGCAAATAAATTGCATCATACATTTCATGCAACATAACTTTTTGTTTCAGCTAACATTTTACCCTTTTCAGGATAAGATTAACAGCTACCATTAACAATATGCAATCAGGATACAATACATATACGCTCCAGACACGGATGCCATTCTGATACTCATTCAGATTCAACTTTCAGATATAGTACAGCTACGCTCTAGACATGGATTCCATTCTGATACTCATTCTGATTCAACCCATTCAGATACAGTTCAGATACACTCCAGACACGGATGCCATTCTGATACTCATTCATATTCAGACTTCAGATACAATACATATACGCTCCAGACACGGATGTCATTCTGATACCCATTCAAATACAGTACATATACGCTCCATACACGAATGCCATTCAGATACTTGTTCAAAGTTCAAATCCAGATACAGTTCAGATACGCTCTAGACACAAACGCCATTCTGATACTCATTCTTTCAGCTTACAACTTACAATTCAACAAACATTTTTGGATGGCATCTACAAGCCCATCTCCAACAAGATTCTATCACTTCTCTAAATGGCATCTTTAAGCCCATTTCCTCAACTACACATCATCGAGTGCAAATTTCTGGGCACTCTAGTATCCAATCATTCTCTCACCTTCGAGTCACGAATGGCAAAACTCGCCAATCTAACTCTTCAGGTTTAAGAAGATTGAACATCGACAGTTGTTGTACCCCAAAATTTGCCCTCTCATTTATCAAGATTATTCTCACAAGATCTCTTTGACTCAAGACTGGATTAGGGTTTGACCAGTTCAAGACCTCTCTCATCAGGCACTGATCACCCAAAATTAGGGTTTGAGTTTGGCCAAGGATTTTTGGACTATCAATGCTTCATATGACTTTCAAACATCATTATGGACCCCTAAGTTTACTCATGACAAGTTTCAAGCCTTGAACCACATTTTTGATCAGTCAATTGGACAGTTGACCTAAAAATCAACTGTATTGGGGAAAAAGTCAACCATGGCCAATTTACAGTTAAAGTTCTTAAATTTTGATCCACATCAACATTTTAGACTCATATATATCATTTTTATCAAGTTTGGACCATAATTCTTCAAGAAATTTGATCAAATCATCAAAAGGGCAAAATGGTCAAAATTAGGGTTTTGACTGGGAAAGGGTAATTTCTGATTTTTGACCTAGCAAGTGACCAATTGATTTGAATCATGATTTCAAAGGTTCAATTGTATCATCTTGACCTAATAACATGGTTCAAAACATTTCAATTTCATTGGATTGACAGATGAAATTTGCAGTCAATTGATCAAAAGTCAATTGTATACTGAAAAGTCAAACTTTGACTTTTTGGTCAAAATCAAGTGCCAAGGATCACAATTCATCAAAACATGTCAAAATGTGAAACTTGTTCATCAAGAAACCAAAGATTGAAGATTTGATTTTGAAATTTGAAATTTTTCTTAACTTAGAAAATTTTCTAAGTATAGAAAATTTCTTAATTTTTCTCAACTTTAAGCCATTTTTTCATCATGATACAAGATGATTCAAAGGAAATTCCCAACATGAAAGTTGTAGATCTCCATGAAATCTACAACTTTGCTTCACACATTTTCCCTAAAGATGCTTGGATCTCAAGATATAATTTTGTGAATACATGCTCATGAACTAAAATAACTTAGTGAAAATTTGCAATGGTCATAACTCACTCAATTTTCATCTTTTTCAAGTGATCTTTGACTTTTTGGAAAGTTCAAGATATCCTCTACAACCTATATGTTTATCATGTTTGCTTTTGAAGAGTTTATCTTGATGTAATTTGCCTTGACAAAAAGTGTCTTTTTGTTGACTTTTGAAATAACCTATAATGTTTTGGCCCATATCTCTCAAATGATGCACTTTTTGGACTTAAGCTTAGAGAGACAAAGTTGTAGAGAATTGAATTACCTTCAAAATGAGCTTTGGTTGGGGAAAATATGATGAAGCATATGAAAGTTATGATTGGTCAAAGTTCAGTTGTCTTCTCCTTATGAAAACCCTAATTTGGCAACTTTTGACTTTTGATGATTTGAGAGTTTCCTTGATGAGTCATGATCAAAACTTGATCAAATGATGAATATGAATTCAAAATTTTTATGTTGACCAAAAATATTCGTTGATAAATGTTCGGTAATTGAAGATCATGGGAATAAAGTTTCATGTTAATCTTGATCATACTCTTCCACTATTTTCTATGTTCATCTTTGATAAGTCAAGGTCGTCAATTAGGGAAGGACTTTGTCAAGAATTGTGGATTGAATCGTGAAATATGAGTCGTAATACAAAAGGCGAGGTTATGAATTCTTTAGGATCGATATCTTATTGCCTATTCAAATTACTTATCATACAAGTTGATTTGGATTCAAGATTGAAGTTTGGATTTAAGATTTGAATTTGAGTCGAATTCGCTATTGTGAATTATCCATCACAATGACTACTTAGTGCCATGAGTTTAGAATCCGCGAGTATGGAGTGCTTGGAGTTACAAAAGCAAAGTTTGTCATGATTCAAGGTTCAAGGAATTCAACTTATCCATTCATTTCATTTTTGAATATCACAAGCTCATCCAAGTTTCAAGTCACTCATTCAAGTTCAACTACCAAGTTTAGCATTCACTATTCAAGTTTTACAATGTTTATCATTTACAAACCATAAATCCAATTTACAAAACCATGATTATCATGTCTAAACATCATACAAAAAAATACTACACAAACTTTTGTTCTAAGCTTAAAATTCTAATGCCCTAACATCTTCATTCGGTGTTCGTGGCAAGTACCCATCTTCAAATTCCCTTTCATTTAGCATAAAATATAGATTGCTTTGCCATGGTTAACTTCTCGTGTCGTCTTCTAAAACTTTGACTCTAATTTTGAGCCATCTTCAAACTGTCCTGCAACCCTGTTTCAGACATGTCCAAACCTACATTCAATCAAAGACCAATTCATAATAAACCTGTGTTCGACCGAACTGACAGCTAGACTCAACCGGCCCTGCATATAATTACTGAAGTCGCGCCAAAACGATTCCCGGACTACACCGAATCCAAATATGACAGCCCTACTATGTTCATAAACATAGTTCAACAATCCTCAATTTTGAAAAATCAAAACTACAAATCACCCCTGCATTTTGTTCGTACCAGAAATCAGAAAACAACGAAAAAGAGAAGAAAGTCAAGAATTAACGACTTACTGCTCTCACTAACAGAAAATCAAGAAAAGGACGAGGCATCTACTTTTACAACTTAGAAATCAACGGAAGCATTAGTTTGATTGGTTATCAGAATATTTTAGAGAATGGGACGATCTGAAGAGAACTACATATACTAGTTGCAGCTGATATGTTAACTAGTGTATGTGATTATGTTTTATCCAAGGTAATAACTTCCTGCATAACTAGTTCAGTCAATCCTGTGAAAGGCAAAAGGGTCAGGAAGTGCATGAAAGTAAATCCTCTACACAAACCACCTCCGACTCCTGAAATTACTCAAGCTATTGATCATGAAACTTGTTCAGATAAGAGCTGTGGTGAATTTGATCTTACCAATTACAGATGATGAGAAGGCGGCCTTTCTTCATGTTGTATCATCTTTTTGCTTGTTGTGCCTGTTGATTAGTTGAAGGCACGGTCTTTGATTGGCTGCCATCATCAGAGGGCAGCATTCGAATTTGTTAGCCAAGACAAAAGTGTCATGAAAAAGTGCATGGCCTTGTATTAATCAAAAGAAAAGAGAAAGAAGACCATGATTTGCAATACTGATAACCAAAAACCAGTTTAATTTGTTAACTCAATAAATACCTATACCAGTCCAGACTTACATTAGTTTAATTGAGGCTTAATAGGGCATCAATATTCCTAAAGAAATCAAGCCAACCCTGTTTCGATGTTTTCGAACCTGCAAGTGAAAAACATGTAACTTGTTTAGCTATAAGGTTAAAATCTATCAAAATCCTACCTTGCACTCCAGGTACCCATTAACCAAAATCAAAACAAAATTTTATAATTAACAAAACAACTAGCTAACTACCTCTAACTGTTTCCCAACTGTTTCCAACAGATTATAACAGCTCCATAACAAACTTCTAACATAACTCTCTAACTAACTTCTAAAAAACAGCTCACCTGTAACTGAAACAGAACCCCCTAACCAACTTCCTCTAACAACCTCTCAACAAAGAGCAGAAATAGAGTTCCAACAAGTAGAATTACTAACCCCTAACTAACTCTAACCAATTCTTAACTAACACTGACTAATAACAACTAACTCTAACAGAAAAAGAAGAGAGAGCATAACAGAAAGGGGGGGGGGGGGGGGGGGGGGGGGTATTCTGCAGAATCACCAAATAGAAAAACTAAACAAAAACTTTGTCTTCTACTCTCATCATCATCTCCACCACTCTCCAATCATTCGAAGAATCATCACCAAAAATATCTTAGAACTCTTCAATCTCTTTGCGACCTTCATCTCAGAGTCTCTACATCTTCTTCAACCTTTTATCCATCATCTTCTTAAGAGAATGCTTCAATCAACAAACCACCAATCTTCATCTTTCTCTGCAAGAACACAATAATAACAACGTTCAATACATCCAGCTCCTTGGAATCAGAACAACAATGAAGATTTACCAACAAAATTAAGAAGGAAATAGGATCAAGAACTAACCATTTCCTATGTGCTATCTCTGCGGTTACCTTCCACTCTCTGTTGAGCTTCATCTTCATCGCACAAAAAGTCTGCAATTTGCATCTTCGTTCAACAACGACATCATAAAACCAAATCAAAAAACAAAAGAGGGAATCGGAGAAAGAGGAAAACATAATCGTTTGAAACGATATAGTAGAAAATACATACCAGAGCAGGTGTATCCAGCAGAGGACCCAGAGTGTCTCAAATCATCATCCTTCTTTTGCTTGAATCGTGAACCGCGTTGAAACAATAAAGGGGATAAGATGAAGTTGTGATAAAAATATATTTCAGACGAGCGGAAGAAGTTTGAAATCAGAGGTAGGAGGTGGAGAGAGAAAGACGGAGGTGTGAAGGAAATGGTGGCGGATATGAGGGTGAATCACCGGATAAGGTTGAACGAATTTGCGGCGCTACATGAAAGAGGAGAAGAAGAATTTTATGCCGAGAGTTTAATTGCCACTTTGCAAAAACCCTATTCCTCTTTCAATTTTTTTTTTATTTTATCTTATTTTCTTTTTCATTTGTTTTGATAAATGACCAAAAAAAAAAGCTAAAGGATGATTTTTGTTTGAATGAGATAGGTTGTTATATCATGGTGAGGAACCGGGCTTTGCTGCAGCATACCTCCTGGGCTCAATAATACACCCCCTCTGTTTCACTACTCTTACTTTTTCATGTTATTAATTTTAGCTTCATTTTTTTTCTTTTCTTTCTTGATTTTAATGATGATAATGATACAAAAAATATTAGGACATTTTAGAATTTTTTTTTTAGTTTTCTCTTTAGAATTTTATTATAGTTTTCTATTATTTTCATTATCATTTTTAGCTAAGATTTTGCGATAGAATACTGATGTAACTTTCGCGATGGGGAATGCTTGGAGATTAATTTTTTGATCGACCGTGCGGAGCAGCTCCTGTAGAGTTTTCTTATCGCTTGTATGGTTTTGAATAGGCAGCGGACCTTCTCCGTTCGGTATCATCACAATCTCATTTTATTCCTCATTTTCGCACTTTACTGCTTTCTAGATATCATGAGAAGTAGGAAGTAAAGAGCGTGCGCTCGAATTCGCTGTTTAAAGACCTATAGCAGGAATTCCTCACTTCATTTGCTATATGTGTTGTGCTTGTGTCTGCTTACTTTCTTGTTGATCGATGAGTCACTCAATTTAGAAATTGAGATCACGACTTTGCTCTCAGTTCATGCTCCCTATAGGATTTCATTGCTTTCCTTTGTTTCTCATTGATTGATGAGTCACTCAATTTAGAAATTGAGATCACGACTTCGCTCTCTTTGCATGTTCCCCATAGGATAGTTTTGTTAGACTTTATTTGGTATGCTAGCCTAGGTAGGATCTCTCTAATTATGCTCTCTTGATCTTATTGGCTTGTTTGTTTAATTTCATCTTTGTGTGCATGTTTTGAGATGACATACCCTCGACACTTTCTCTTAGGAGCTCTCGGTTCAACTATAGATGGTGATTCGAGATAGACATATTTTTAGGTGATAGACCCTTGCTATGCTCCTTTAGGACTTCTTGATTCATCTATAGATGATGAGTTGAGATAGACATTAGGATTGTTATCCAAGCATGTCAACTTAGGGTATAATTTCCCTTCAAAACTCAACCATAGGACCACCATTGTATGATAACATTAGGGATAGATTTAGGCTAGTCTCCCTTAGATATTTTTCTTTTCTTTTGCATCCTTGCATTAAAACACAAAAACTTCTTTTTCTTGCAAATTTCAAAATACTAAAAAATTTACTGACGAGAATCATATCTTTGTTAAGTATGAGAGATGATAAGCGGGTTTCTTCTCGACCTTATTATTCTCTTATTCTAAGATTTGGTGTGGTTCAAGTCTCAAAGACTTATTTCATGAAAAATCAGAGAAATGGCTAAAATCTCTCTCTTGAGATCAACTAGCTGTTATCCACAAGCAAAAACACCAACCAATACAAACTATTTTTGCCTTCGGGCCTTTCTTTCAAAACCTTTTCAAAAGAAAATGTTAATTCACTTCTGTGCTGATGCGTAAGTCTCCAAAGGTCGAGTTGCAGCAGAAGGCGAAATTAATATTATTCATTAAAAAAATACAAACCAACAAAAACACGTGAGCCGAACTACGTCTGCTCTGATTCCTTAAAAGGGATACGTAGGCATCGGGGTAGGGCCCGAATGAGCACAACTTTTATTTTTCCCTACATTATTTTATCCTTCCTTTTGCATGCATTCTCCCTTCCATAGTGTAGTAAACAGTAAGCCTAGATTGAACACACCCATAAGATAGATAACAAGAGTGGATACCATAGAGTACTATGGGCGTGTGGGGTGCTAATACCTTCCCCTCACGTAACAGACTCCCTTACCTGTATCTCTTGGTCGTTCGACCTTGATTTCACTCTTCTCAGGTTTACTCGATATTTACCTTTCCCTTCATGTGGGATAAAAAACGTTTGATGGCGACTTCATTGTTTGATGATTTTTCAGCTGGTTGTTTCAGCTGGCGACTTCACTGGGGAAAGATTGACCTATTGCTGGTCCATCCCAGAGTCGATCCTGGCTCTTGTTTCCTTTTCTTTGGGTGTTTATTTTTATGCTTTTAGTTTACTCATTTGTACATGTTTATCTAAGCATATGTTTGCATTGCATTTTATTCCTTTCCATATTGGTTATCTGCTGTACTGGATCTTATTTTTTCATGTTGGGTGGGTGTTACTATTGAGGTAAAAGGCTGAGTACCCAAGCCAGAGTACACTAGGACACTAGAAATAGAGTGGACGAATGATGGCTATAGGACATGGTCCAATTAGTGCAGTAATGTCATATACCATACTCGGATGAGGTTCAAATGAATTGCTATCGACACCCACATTTGTGGGTAAAGCGGTAGTACTTTCAGGCGGACCCGTGATTTTGAGTTACCTTTGACCTACCCTGACCTAGTCTTTACCTGTGAGTAGGGAGGGACTTAATTATTACAGGTACAGGTGGTGACTATGTTCTGATGGTGACTGTTGTGTTCTGTCAGTGACTATGGTTATTTGGTTATGTTTTGGACATTTGATCTTGATATATTTCACTTGGCCAGAGATTATATAACGTTTATTCATGACACTTGGTTCCATTGTATTCTGAAATTGGTGTCGAACCTTTTGACCCCGTGTTATCCAGATTATTCAGCATATTAATACAGCAGTACCCAGAGGATTGTACAATTGCTATGCTGAACTTTTGAACCCATGTCATTGCACCTTGCATCATAGCATGTTTATTCTACATAAAAAAAGGAAATGTGAAAGATTGTATGCATAAAAAAAAGTTTGAACATAGCATTGCATCCACTCATTTACCTCATGCATCTTCATGCATCTTCATGCATCCATATCAGGTACTCGAAAGGTACTCAGAATGGGGACTCCTTATTTGGACTCGGTATTTTCTTTTCAGACCTACAAATCTTGACTTCACGCTGCTCCGTGATCAGATTCAAGATATGGAATGACTTCGTGGGGAATTGGACGAGATGAAAGAACATATGGGATTCTCGATGCTAG